AAAAAAAAAAAAAAAAAAAAAAAGAAAATTGAAAGAGATTTCTGAGGACAATAAACATCGGTTATGTTCTTCAATTATCTGAATACAGACAATCAACAACAATGTCTTTGACAGTTAACAGTGCCGTATACAATGATAAACAGATAACTCAATTAACCTTTAACCTACCAGTATTTTTTTTTTCCCGATGCCAAATAATCAATTAAAATGACCAAAATCGACAATGAAAAAAAAAAAAATGAAGACAAAAAAGAAACAGTAAGCTTTTTAAAAAACTATTGAATAGAAATGCTGACAAATGTTTGATTAACATAAATTTTATTCAACATTGTTTACAGTTTTCATCAGTGATACTTTGAGCAGTGATCTGTTCCGTAACAGAATATCAGTTTTGTTAAAAATTACATTTTTTTTTTTTAGCAGAATATTAGTTTCAAATAAGGTTGCTAATTTTTGTTGTTCACATTCACATCACACATCGTTATCGTTATGTTCAAAAACAAAAGTTGCAGTATTTTTAGATTCATCAACAGTGTCAAACATCTGCTTGAGCTGGACACAATTCCAGTCACATTGCTTTTCTTCAGCGTAACAATTCATCTTGTTTTTTTTTTAGACTGTTACAATCTTTTGAATCCTTCCTTTCCAACAAGATAACAGAAAAAAAAAAAAGAAAAAGATAACAGAAGAAAAAAAAAAAAGGAATAATCAGAATTACTATTTCATTCAGGATTTGCATACACGTTAGTTGTATATATCGTTGAGGTTTGATATATACATATTTGAACAATAATTGTTCATTATTTGGTAACTTTAGCCGTATCTGGATCAATGCCTCCCCCGGTAACCGTTTCACCGCCCACACTTTTTGAAGTCGTCTGAAAGTATGAAAAAAAAAAAAAAAGCAAAGTCAGTGGATTATGAATGGAATTAAATGATTTGATAAGCATATGCATATCTGCAAATATCTGTCTACAGATATCTTATTAATTTAATACAAATTTTCATTACCCATTAAGAAAAGTGAGAAAGAAAAAAAAAATTATAACAAAAAATTTTTTTTGCATTTGTATCTTCTGTTCCCCA